TCACTGTCCCTACTTCCCCTCCTCCCATTCATCTTCCACTGCAGCCTGGCAAGGAACCCTCTAAGCTAAAGGTCTATGATGACCTAACTACAAAATACAAAGGATGCTTTCCAGCCTTTATCCACGTAGACCTCTTTGCAACACCTGGCTCTGTTGACCTCATTCCAGAACTCACCCCTCCCCAACCCCTTGCCCATCTTGCAGCTACCATCTCATTTAATCGTCCTGTCCCTCAAACCTCCATAGCTCTGCATGAAATCATTCCATTAGCTGATCCTTCAATGTCTGTGTTCATGGGGCTTCCTTCCTTCACTCTCTTCTCATTCGTTTTGCTCTCTCTTGGAAAGAGCACGTACAGTTCATGCCTTCAAAACTACATATATGCTGAAAATTCCCAGTCTACTGATACAGCCCAGAGCTCTCTGAATGCTATGCCCTTAATTTATCACTGCTTTCAGTAATATTTTTTAAATTTATTTTACCCCAGCTTTCAAACTCAGCATTATATAAATGTTGATGCAGTGGTTACCTAGGAAACTATCAGATCAGTTAGAGGACAACTATGAGGGAGGAATACATACTTCTGAAGATAGCTCAGATTTCCATGAGCAGAGACATAATGAAATTAAAAAGTAATGTGGAAAATAAACGCCTTCAGATCCTGAGAAGTTATTTTCAACTTCATCTCCATTCCTCAGTCCTTATAAATATTGCACCCCTTCCTTATATTGTGAGAGTTGAGTCCTAAGACAAACTGCTAAGCCCATGAGTATTGTGAACATACTCAAAAGTAGCTGAAATTTCAAATGCAAAATCTAAAATGCCGAAGACGTGCTGTATAAAGTTTGATAAACCTGTAAGGATAAATGGAAAGCACTTTTTCATGGTATAAAATAAAGCTTTAACAGAGTTGCCTTAATAACCGAGAAAGGAACAACTTACATATTCAAAAAGTGACAACTGGCTAAAATAATTCTAAAATGGGAAGAAAGGAACAGTACTTAGCAATCAAATATGATATTATAAAACATATTCAGTGGAAAGGAAAAATGTCACGATATATTATGCTTTGAAAAGTGGGTTACCAAAGAGTAAAATTAATATGATCCCAATTTAGAAAAAAAATTAATATCTCTATATATGAAGAGAAAAAGAAAGAATACACACCCAAAAAACAGTTATGGTGATGGTAATACATATTTTATCTCTCCTTTGTGCTTTTGTGTATTTCCTGAATTTTCTACAACAAATGCTTCTTAAATGCACTTTTAAGCCAAAGTTACAAGAAGAATACAATTAGAAAAACAATACAATGTTCAATGAAAAAGGTATGGCTACATCTATATCAAGGAGCACATGCCTAGAGAAAAGACTGGAATGAAATATACCAAAATTCTAACAGTCTGTGTTAAAGTGCTCATAATTCTTCTTTCCTCCATCTTCCCCTATGCTTGGCAATATGGTTACATTATTTCATAATAAAATAAATGGTTAAAATTTTAAAAGATAAAAAAAGGCTCAAGAGGGAGTTGTACCCCAAGAGTTGCATTTGGTTTTGTTTCTGCTTTTATGTAACAGGGTCACCTACTCACTAAATCCCTTAGGAGCTCCGAGACTCCTTCCCTAATTTGTAAAATGGGCACTACACCTGCCCAGGCCTCTCTCCACCCTACCCATTAGTAAAACACAAAGCCCTATCTAACATCAACACTGCAATTTACCCAAGGGTTGGACTGCTCTCCCCAGTCCCCCAGGAACACCCGCACCCCCCCGCCTTCCTGACCTTTTCACATTAGATGTTCGGTGCTGTCCGGATGCCTGTTTTGTATCAAACGATGAGAAGTGTTGGCTGCTTGTTGCCATATCTACACGAGAAGACCTGTTAATAAAAAGGCAGTGAGGTTGTTACTTCTTTGTCTTACAGGAAAAGTCTACATAGATTAAAGTATACAACACAAGTCCTTCAATTATTTATATTATCTCACTTCCATTTCTTATCAGTTTTGAAAATCAAATAGCAGAATCCACTCAGTTACATGGTGAATATTTCTGAAATACAGCCCCAATAAAATAAACTTATTTTTCTTTATATTCCAGTACACAAAAATTAATGAAATCACCCCCCAAAACTCTCCACCCAAAGATAACATTGTAGCTTGTATATATCCTTCCAAATCTTTTCCCAAGTAAATCTATCTATCTGTCTATATTTTTCTTAATTGAAATGGAATATTACTGTAGGGGAGGAAAAAGTTTTCGTCAACCCTCTTAGGGTCCCCCGCTGGGTCTGGAAATTAAACTGACAAAGACAGATCAACAAGAGAAAAGCACACAAATTTAATTGAATGGTTACACGTATGTGAGAGCCTTCATAGGAGAACGAAGACCCAAAGAAGTGAGCAGAGCAGAAATCTTTTATACCTTTCTGACAAAGAAACAATACATTTGTCAAGAATTGGCAAAACAAATGGTGAAAGCCTAGGGGTAAATGGTGAAGGAATAACTTGGAATAAATAAGGGTTAATTTAACAAGATTTGTCTGCAGACTCTGAGCTGTACGAGTCTGCCTCCAGTAAAACCAGAATTTATGTCCTACCTTTAGACAGAAAGAGGGAACTTTTTCAGTGTTTACTGCTTCTTGATTGGCTTCAGCTCAAAATGATTTTTATGTCAAAGAGGCATACGTATTTTGGGATAACATATTCTGGGTTCCTTTCTTATATGCTTACTTTATCCTGAATCTTTTCTTCTCAACAAATACAGAGTTGCTCTACCACAGCTAGTGCCCACATAGCAGTCTGCTGAATAGAGGTAACATAATTTGTTACCTATCCCTCATTTTGAGGCATGCTAGTTGCTCCCAATGTTTGGCAATTATCAATACAAACAATACTGCAATAAGCCCCTTTACTCACTTGCCTGATTATTTCCTAAGGATAAATTCTGGAGTGAAAGGGCAAGTATTTTGTAAAATATCTTATGTTTTAAAAACTGCCTTGTTTCCCATTATATATTTATACCACAGAATGCTGAAGTAACATAGAGGAGCTGGAGACCAATTTGGTTTGCAGAATCTTAGGCCACATTTTGACCTACATCTACCGCAGAGACACACACAGAGGCAAGCCTACTGCAGAGAAGGAAACTTCCATAGAGCTTAAGAATAAGCCCTGCCCTGTATATAACAGAATCGTCAACCTCCCATTGACGATTCACCTTAACTGTCCACAGCCATAGAGAAGAGAGGAAAGGGTTATTGACCACCCCTTTAGGAAAGCTTCTTTTTTTTAAAATTCTAAGATGTCAATGCCCTTATTGTACATTAAGTGGAGTATGATTATATTACCTTCAGACTTCCCAATACCCGGTAATATTTTATATTCAACATTCATCTCTTCTTGAACATGTCAAGTTTCCTAAATTTCATATATCAGGTTAGGGGAAAATCAAGGTTCTTTTCACAAGGGTGGTTGGGTGTGGGTGATGGGAGAAAAGAAAATGCCACGGTTAAGTGGAAATGTAGCTTGAAGGCATGTATGTTATTTTCTATCACAAGAACTTCTTACTAGGAGAATGGAGGAAGCCCTAAGCACTTAGGTAAACCAGACTCCAGGGTACTGACTGACATCCCAGTTTACAAGCAGGGAAAG